TTTCATATGAGAGACTTGGCTTATTCTATTCCCAAAGCTGAAACAGTTCCCTCATATTACTTTTGACAATGACTGTTTAAATAACTTCGTTACATTATACTTTGCTGAAGCTTTCTAAAACTACATGAACTGTTATAATTATTTTTTCCCTCCTTTCCTCTTATCTTTTCTCTTTTCTGTACAGGTGATTTCTATTCACTCCTTTCCAGGCTGCTAGGAGAAAGGGAAGATGTTGTGCATGTGCATAAGCATAACCCTACAGAAAAGGCAGAATCAGATCTTGTAGATGAGATTGCTAACGTAGTCCAAAAGAAGGATCTTGCCAGAGAGATCACAAATCATGATGAGAGGGACAATATTATTCTTGTCAGAGACAGAATTCACAAATTTCACAGACTAGAGTCTACCTTGAGGCCACCAGAGAACAGACATTTCTCTTTACAACAGCCTAAACATGGTGAGGGAAGCTGGGAAAAAGAACATACAGGAGGTGGGTTAGGGGTTAATTTTATACAATGAAATGCAATGTAAGAGCGTGATCCACATTAGCAAAATCTGAAGGGAATATCAACTGATGTTTGGAAGTGTTTTACGTGACAGTTTTCCTAATTATGGAAACGTTCTTCCTCTATTATAGAGGTATTTCAGTGGGGTTCTTTCCCCCTCCATGTGTGAAGAAAGAATATGTACCAATGGCACAATACCAGTACTTTTTGGAACATAAAGTATTTTTTATACTCTCAAGACTTCTACTTAATGATTTGGTATCAGTTATGCTAAAACAAAGTAAACACAGGATATAGTAGTCACAGGAAGTGAAGAATTTTCATAATACAAATAACTACTATAAAATGGCCATTGGGATAACTGATCCATTTTATGAGTTTTCTGATTACCTTGATTTGTCAGATACAAGATTTTATAAAATTTATTGCTGTAGATCTATCAGGTATTTTTTCTCTCATTTAGAAAGAGTGGTAGTTAATCCTGAAAAATTCTTGAGAAGTAAAATTTTCTGCACATTTATTTCAAATCGGGCTTGGCTACCCAAATACTCTTGGACAGGCTGTTTTATTATACTAGGATTATAATTCATTCCCTTCAGGTTTCTATGACAGCAGAAACCATGGAATTATTGTGTTTGTTTTACTTGCATTTTGGTCTCTGTGATATTGATTGTGCTTAGTGTTACTTGCTAATGTGGAAAGCTAGATAATGCAGCATGTGACGAGTATCTCATAAAAGAAACTGGTATGTATGCATGAAAGCCATCTGTATTCGTAAGTTGTAGCAGCACATGCTTGCTTTTATGTTGGAACCAGCCAGCTTGATGTTTCCAAGTACTGTACAAATATACATCATTCATTATGTGTTTGATTTTTATTTCAGTTTAAAATGTTAACATGTATTGTCTCCGCTTATGTGAGATTGTTATAGTATTCAAATTCAGCAAAATTCTGGGTTTGTATTTAACAGAAAACCAAAGATAAGGACTTTCCAATGTTATGTTATGCTAGTCAGTTAAATGAGAGCCTGTCAAGTTACTGGCATAGGGGCAAAAAACAGGTGGGATGTTACCTGACATAGGTGTAAATCATAAATAATTCCATAAGCTACAATGGAATTAATTGCTTGGAAGAGTAGTGCATGTAGCATTTCTGCAAAACCAGTTTGTTCAGTTCAGACTAATAGCAAGTGGTGTGTAGAGGGGAGAAAAGAAATTTCCTTTCTGTTTAACTGATCCAGAGGAGGAGGGAGTGTCAGTGAACTGAATAAATGGATTAGTTGTTACACCATATGGCATGAATTCTAACTACAGAAAGCATTTACTTGGCTACTTTAGTAGCTATATATTCATTTTGGGGGAGTTTGTTGGTGGAAGACTAAGGAATAAATGGAGTTGCAAATGATGCAGTGTTGAGTTACAGCAAAAAGGAAAACTGAAATGATCTTAATTAGCATTGTGGGTTTTTTTTAATGTTTGTGATACTGCTAACTACAGAAATTCTGAACTGCAGAAGCTGTCAGCGCCATCTTTTGGCAAAAGAACTTTTCTAGCAATAAAATCTTTAAGCACATGTTTAGTTTCCGGTTTGGGTAGTATTTCTGTATTAGAAGAACAGACCCTTCCATAAGGGAATTTTCCTCTTCAGAAGAAGTGGTGCAACATAAAGTGTTTTAACTTGTCTTGATTTAATAAAAAAATGTGCACCCCCTATAAAATTCTATACTATATTGAATTTTAAAAAATTTCACTATTTTTAGGACAAGACTTTGGTTGCTGTTAAATTAATTTCATTTAACTGCTTAAAAATTACCAGAATTAAAATAGTTTAATATTTTTAGTCTTGAAAATTTTCTAATTTTAAACATTTAACTGGTCTGAAATAGCAAGTGACCAATATGTTAAGTGAGGTTGTTACAAATGTTATGTTTATAACTTTATACTACTGCTCTTCCTGCACTGTTGTTATCTTAGTATCCCAAGACTGGTCAATAATGTCAGGTTGTTCAACATCACTGTAACCAGTACAATTATACCTCCTAATTAAGGCAGACAGTGTAATTTTCCAATTTTTAAAATTGTGTTGTGCAGTGCTTACTTATATTTGTATTTGTATTTCACCATACCTTCATTTTATTGTTTTGATCTATCAGAAGTCTTCTAGTCCTTTAAGTGTAACTATAAACATTTTGTATTTTATACTACATGCCTTTTGAGAGACTGAATTTTACAGAGGCCAAAATTTAGGCTTTCTATGTTTAGCCTTTTAATTTTTCTAGCTTTTTTGGAAAAGGCTTAGAGGCCAAGGGGTGCTGTAACATTAAGCATACACAAGTTTTCTGCAAGTTAACTTAGACTGATATGGGATGAGGAAGTGAGGAATCAGACACTGGATTTCCATCCTTTTATTCCTTTCAAAATGCTGACGTCCATGCATATACCTGGTACTGCACCTGCTGTGACAAACTGAACTGTACCGAAGTATGAATATGTATAATTTTTTCCTAACAGCTTTTCTTTTAGCTTGGAACTTTTGTTCAGCTAAAATTGCTACAGAGTAGAATTTCTTGGTTTAGAAGTTCCTGATTACTGTCTTGGATTCACTGCAGTTGCTGATTGCCTTAGGTTTGTCTAAGGTTTGTGTTGGCCTAAAGAGTTTCTCTGTCACCTACTTTAGCTATGGTATCAAAAACGGCAAAGGTAAAATATCTCCTAGCCTGTGGTAGGTTTTGAGCACTGGCTTTATCTTTCCCCTGTGCAATTGTGGGGTTCTCCCTCCACCCCATTCTTGCTGTAACACCTCAGACTACATCTCGTCCAAGTGAAATGGAAGGGCGAGGTATGCTTATCAGAACAGCTGCGTTGCACAGGTGACCTGAAGATTTTGGGCATTGTTTTCCTTTTCATTTTTCCTTTCGTTAGAAGTGATCTTCCAGCTGAACCCTCTCAGAATCCTTGGGTGCTGTGTTACGGTCTGTGATCTGCCTTATTTCAAAGCACTGATGCCCTGGCACTTTGTGAGTGGGGATATGTGTTTCACCTGGCTAGGTGGTACCCCAGTGACCAGTTTCTAGGATCACAGCAAAACACAGAACTTTCGGTGAACCGAAAGTTGCAAAGTACAGCGTGATGCTATCAAACACATTGAATAAGAGTAAAACAGCTCCAGTTTCACATAACTGCAAAGAAATTGCTTTCTATTCACCTTCATTTGGCTATAGGTACCTACATACAAAGTCTGCATATTAGAAATACCTGAATTATGCTGAACAAATCAATTTCTGAAAGAAAGGAGTGGTGGATTTCCTAACATGTAGAAGGCATTTTAGGATTTGGGGTTTTTTTAATTTTCTCAGAACTAGTGACATTTTTATTGCCATTATATTTTTTATTTTTGGGAATGTTGTCCAATTGTCTTTTAATACTGCCAGAACAACCCAGACCAACCTCTTCCAAATAGCATTTAAGCAGTCTGTTTGTGAGAAATTAATCCTTGTAGCCAAGACTCTGCAACTTTTTCAAATTTTGGACTGTTCATGCCTTTAATCAGTGTAAGTCTATTTTTATGTAAAACAGAGATTGAAGTAAACACCTTTTTATATTTCTAATTTTAATGTTTAAGTTGAAACTAAATTGTCTCCCTTAATTGAGGAGTGTTACAATTTAAGACAAACGCAAGAAGCATACGGCTTTTTAGTAGTGGTTCACTTGCTAAATCCTGTGCTGTTGATTTAGTGTGAAAATCAGATCTGTGTTATTCAAAAATGATCCAGTATTCTTAAAAACAGTGTGTTACGGCATAAACAATGACAGATATTCTACCCTTCGTCTCTTGTCATCAGATTTAGACATCCATTTCCTATTCATCCTTATAATATTTGGATTAAGATATGAACACTATCCAGAACTAATGCATATTCTGGCTGCAAGAAATATCATAGGCAGACTTCACATCATTACTGTTTTATTTGCTTCTCATTGCTGTTTTTCTTCCTTCCCTGATTTTTTTTTCTTAGTGTTAAAAGCTTTTTTGAAAAAAAGTTGTGAATCAGCCACTTCTGATATGTAGTTGGTTTAGTGATTCATAGTCTTTGTTATGCATTTTTTAATAAAACACTGATAGGTTAATATTTAAATTTGCCTGCTGATTTTGAATAGTAGTTGTATATTTCTTTAATCTTTCAAAGTAGAAAGTATTCACAGAGCCCCTAAATCTTCTAGAGTCTGTATCCTTACAAGATGGAGAAAAGAATGGATCTAAAAGCAGTTTTGAAGTTTCTGTCATCCTATATGTAGCAGGATGCCAGTGCTTGTGCATGCTTTACTATAATAAAACTATGCTTGGAATTAAATTGCAATGCATTAATGGAAATATTGCATGTAATAAAATGTCCATATAATTCCCAACAGTCTGTACCAAAAGCCAGTTAACCATGTTTTTTTATAAATGTACTACATGAATGTCTCTCTTTTGTTTGTTTGTTTCTTTGGTCAGATTTCCACATAGAAGAGGCTGTGGAGTGGCCTGGGTTAGACCTCAAACTAGGTCAAGTTTCTGGGTTGGCTCTGGACCCTGAAAATAAACTAGTTGTCTTCCACAGAGGTGATCGTGTCTGGGATGAAAAGTAAGTAGATACTGTGCCAAATGTCATGTTAGAAGGTCAAATTGGCGCGTGCTATTTGTATCTTCTCAAGAAAAGGCAGATCGTTGTTCCTTTTCCATTTAAAATTCAGTTTCTTGGCTGAAAGTGCCTTTGGGAGACTCCGAATGGAAGTGGTGACTGACAATTTCAAGACGATGGGGTTACTAGGTCTAAGAATGTGCCTTCAGAGAAAAATAAACATAGTACCTTAGGTCCTTAAACTGCATAATCATGTTAGTATGATACTGAGATTAATTATCCCTGCTTCTCCATGGTTTTTAGCAGGACTAATTAGCTTGGGAGAATGATGTTTTAGTATGGTATACTACTATTAGGACCTGGGTTTAAGACATGCAAAGCTAGATGCGGTGTATCTTCATTCTTTTTTGTCTTTATGTCTGAACAAAACTGGATTGTTATAAGGCACTCTCTCAAAACAGGCTTTGTTCTACTCATTTGATAAAATTTACTGCATTTAGTGTCACTCAAAACAAACAAACAAAAAAAATCCCAACTTTATAATAGCCGTTTTTCTAGTGTTTGTAAAGTAACATACTCAAAAGGTATATTATTTTAAGAACAGAACATTCCAAATAAAGTATAGTGTCCTTATTTTTACAATGTTCTTATGCTTTTGAGCTTTAAAATAGCATGTCTAACTGTTTAGATGGACATTTTGGAAAAAAATCCATGAAATTGTAACAGAACACTGTGAGGAAATAGTATTAGCCTGTAACAGAATGTTAGGTAGTACCCTTTTTAAATGTGCTTTTCTTATCTTCTTTTTAAGTGTCTGTTCTCCATATATATAGCTATAAGGCTAAACAGTAGAGTTTTTTTCAACTCCTGATGAATTCATTTTAAGATAACATAGTTTCTGAAAATTAGGGGGGGCAGCTTTCTCAACCTTACAATAACAAATTGTGCTTAGAATAATGTTTTATGGAGGAAAGTCGGTTCTTTGGGTTTTTACCTAAATAACAGTGCAGCAGATAAGGCAGTCATTTATGTCTCATGCATTGTATCAGTTATCTCTCCAGCTCAAGTGTATATAAATATAGACTATAAAATTTGAAAGGATGACGCATGCTGCAACTTGTATTACTGAAGCTTCAAGTAAAAGCTGATATTGATTTGGTGGTTTTTGTCCTACACATGAACATAAGTGCTGTTCTTTGTGTCATTGAAGAAAGAATTGAAACAAATACTTGAAAATAGGCTGGCAGTTGTATTCATTTCTTACTTCTGAAATGTGTATTTTTGAGTGTCTGGCAACTGAGGTATACCCACAACCCAGAGCACAAAACTGGAGTTTGAGACCAAGCAGTATTTGGAGATCCTACAGATTTTAAACAGAACAGAAAAACATTAATGTTCCTAAAATAACAAGTGAGCATAATGAATCGACCATGTCAAGAGACAGACTGAACTTCAAGTTTCTTGTGGTGTGTGTGCAGAAGATTGGAGCTGTGGTCTGGAGTCTGGAAATCCATGTACCTACCATGTGCTGGATCACACTACAGATTCACTTAACTCACCCCTGTCTTTGACAACAGCCACTGTTCATATTTTGAGTATTTCTAGCCTGTGGTTGTTGGATTTCCCAGAAAAATGCTTTATCTTCTATTTAGTATTAGTAGTATTCATCTGTACATCAGTCCTGTGTGGGAGCTTGTCATATTTGCCATCATGTGGGGACTGAAGATGGAACAAAGTGAAACTGCCTGGCCTTGTAAATATGATCAGAAGCATTCAGTCCCAGATATGTAACCAAGATACAAGATGAGCTGTTGTTAACTGAACCTGGTTATGGGTCTTCCGTAAAGATAACTACACATGAAATCCTAATTCATTTCAGAGTTTTGTTCACAAGTATTATTTTTTTTCTTCTTCTTGTGGAAGACAGTTAATCAGTGTATAGGAAAGCTATTGGTGGTAGGAACCCTTAAATCAGACAGGCTAAAACTTCTGTAGCCCTGTTTATATAGAGTATTGTGACTTTAAAACAATATATTTGGAAAACATGCCTGTGGTTAAGCTGTTGTTCCACATCTTGTGGCACAGAGAAGACGCACACAGAAGTGTGCTCAGTCAGTCAGCATTCCCTTCTTATCTTTGGGTACGTCATGGGCATATGGAATAGTCTGGGAACCCTTTCATGGGTTGTGCTGAAAAGGAAGGAGTATATGTGTTCTTATTTTTCAATAAAGAGGAATGAAAAATGAGTATTTGAAATGAGTATTTGTCATGACTATTCTATGGGGAGGGATTTCGGACTTGTAAGTTAATGTTAATAATTAGCTACAAATACAGTTAATTGAGTATAATATTCATTACCAAATCATAAACGTGATGAATCAGTCAAGCCTGAAAGCCCAGAATTTATTTTCTCTTGTTTCAGTGCTTCACCAGTATAGTATAGAAACAAATTAAACAAAAATTATCTGTGCTGTTAGGCAATGCACAAATGTTTCCAATGCATTATTAATATATGCCATAAAAGCTGGCTGCTCATTCGACTGAATATAGCTGGATGAATGGTCTGTGCTGTTTTGTAAGGCAACTTCAGCCTGCATTAGAATGCAAAAGCAGTTATACAAGGACAAGCCCTATAATACAGTCGCAGCTTTTCAGTGGCTGTAGCATTCTTTCTGTGCACAATTTTTTTTAAACAATCCTTTTAAATAGGTCAGGTTCTTTTACCACATCATGTCCTCAGTTTCAGAACAGTCTTTGCTATATGCAGCGTGTGCTATTCAGAATGAAAAAAAACTATTCATCTGGCTGAGCAATGAATCAGTTGGAAGTTATTTTGCATTTTGTGATAAAAAATATATACTATTCATGCAATTTATAAGAGACTTAATAAAGAATATAAACTGCATTCCTGTTACTGTGTTCTTAAGCTAGGCAGGTTAATTTAGGCTGAGCACACTACCACAAAGGTGATGGATATTGATCAAGAACAGAGCTCAGGGTTGTGCCTTCAGGGATTATGAGATCAGTCTAAATTTAATATGTAGCCCACCAGAAGGATGTTAAATTTAGAAATAAATTGTTTGTACTAGTGTGAAGTGGCCAGCTGAGAAGTAGAAAAATAGCTGTGGAATTAGCTTTGTGGTTTGAAATCAGAAGTAGTGACATATGCAGCATATTTTAGTTGTCCTTCGATATCAAACTGCAGAACCTATTAGAAAACCATGCTGCAGAGCAATATGACATATAATGGTAAGGTATTCAGTTATTTGATTGGTTGTTTTTGGTCTTGCTTCTTTTTAAGTAGCAGTAGTCAGCATAGTTCGTGTTCTCATTTATCAGTTGAAACAAAGGAACATTGACTACCTGCGAAGGAAAG